ACTGACTATATAACTGTATAGAATTAACATCAACTATTAATGAATAGATTAGATTTTATTAATAAAGAAAAAAGAATTGAATAGTATTGAAAATTGTATGAAAAATTTGATTGAACAAAAATAAACACAAAAATTAACCACCTTTGTGTGGGCTATAAAAAATTGCTTTGCAGGCCACATGCGGCCCGTGGGCCGTGGGTTGCCGACTCTTGTGTTACATGACTGCATGTATAAATATTACCAAAGAAAAGAATATTATTGATGCATTAATAATGATAATTGATGATCTCAAATTATGACTTTGTAGGTATTGTATGGGTAGTAGTTACTAAGTACTATTGACTTGACTTTATATTATGATTATTAATTTATATACTTTTACTTTATATTATGATGAATATTATCTGTGAATCATAATTACAAAAGATCAATTTCATATAGTTGAAAAGTACTCAAATGCGCAATATAATATGACCAAAAACACCTTAAAATATGCTCTGAAAATATTAAAAAAAAAAAAAAAAAAAATGAAATGTGCATCAAAATTTAATTACAATTATTATATTTTACTGATGGTTTATTTTATTTTTTGAATTATTATCTACAATATAATCTTATGAATTAATACATTTATAAAAAAAAGTTAAAACGACCTTCCGTCAATAACTTAAAAAAAATTGTGAGAAAAAACAAAAGAGTGGGAATTTTCCTTATTATACATAAATTAATACTATTTTTTAGTTAATATAAATAATATTTATGGTAAATTCTAAATAAAACATTATATTATTATGTGTATTGGCCAATATTAGCACCAAAACATCAAAAATGATACTAAAATTCTAAAATATATTAAATATGCAACAAATATAAAAATAAAATTTCATCTTTGAGTCCAGGGTGCATAAGACAAATTTATATCTCACTTTACTATTTGAATCTATATCCAATAACAATTAAAAAATGCTATAAAATCTAAACCTTTAATAATATTCATTATTAGTTATTGTTATTATCAATTCATTATCAATTTTACCCATTTTTAATAATAAATCGAGTATGAGTAAATTCAGATAATTTAGAAACAAACAATACTTATCATGCCAATTTTATACACACAATACCTACTCAGAAACGTAGAACGTGATTTGGTTGATAAGTTTACAAAACTTAAAGCAAGGAAAAATGTCTTTGTTTAATCTAAGAAAGTTTTATATATAATGTTCAAATATTGGAATATTATGTATATCTGTGCTATAAAATAATAAAAACATTATTATTTATAACTATTATTATGTTACCTTATAAATATAAAAGGTAATTTTAGTATTACAAAAAAGGATCTAAAGACTTGAAAAATGCCTTATAAACAGAAAAATATGCATTTAAAGTTAAATTTTTTAAAAATAAAAAATACAAACTAGATTAAATTAATCAGATTTATTTGAAACATATTTTCTGCTTACGGACCTATATGTTGGGAAAATTGAAAAAAAGATAAATTTGCATCAAAATACCAGCTTTAATATTAAGTAGCAGTATTTTTACTAACTATTAATTACAAAACTATTATAATTTTCATAAAACAAACTCATATAATTCGCGCCTACACCGTTATTGTATAGATTATATAATAAACAGTTTGAATATTTATATCACCTACATTAAACTTGTGAAGGCAATTGACTTGTCTAATGATTACAATTAATCGAAAATCTACATCTATTATACCATATTAATATTTCAATAAAAGTACAAATTTTTCGATGAATATCAAAGACAGTATTCATGAGCAAGATAATCTTATTAACCAAAAGTATACAATAAGTTACATTATAGTTTTGTTGAATTGTCGAACTAAAAGTTAAATTATAATACAGTGCGATTAGTGTGATCAGAAATTAACAATGATTTATTTGCATTAATTTTATTTGTCAAGTTGGATTCTCTACGATTTAAATTATAGTAAAATGAAAAAAATGTAAAACTGAAACTTGTTATTAGGATGTAAGTTCTATTTATTATTAGAACATATTATTTTTAAGGAAGCAAAATAATCTTTTGCACCTAGTACAAAGTTAAACAAGTATTCAATATAGAATATGAAACCTGGATTATCTTTAATAGTTACTTTAATAGTTACACACATACAATTTATTTATTTTTTGTAAATCACTGAAACGTATTTTTATTTTCTCTTCTATAATTATTAAAATGATTTTACATAATATAATATTTGTATTCAATAATAAAATAAAAATCGAATAATTATTTTTATAAATTAAATTGGTGTCTTATTTAAATCAAATTTTACTATTTATCTGCATATATAAAAAATTAAATAAATAATATGTATAACAACTCCTGGATAAGACTCCGCAGCGATCAGGGATGAGTGAATGGTATTACTGTACTAGTTTTTTAAATTTAAAACCAATATACCATTAATCTAGAAAAATCGATTCTGAGTTAAATAGGTAGAATGGATTAGTTTGGGTGCATGTAAAATCCGCCAGTAAATAAAAAAAAGGTAAAATTGGATTCATGTAAACTCCACTGCTGAAAAAATCAGGTAATATTGAGTTCATCTAAACTCCGTCAGTAAAAAAAATCATGTAGTAGTATAAAATTAATGTGATGTATTATTAAAAAATAATATATAATATATAATGATATATTATATTATATAATATCTTATCATTCACATTAAATATTTAAATCATAATAAATAATTGTTATAAATAATAATATGAAATCATAGTTTCAGAATAATAATTAAAAATCGTCCACATTAAATATTTTCATCACAGTAAAAAATATCATAATAGATAATCTTTATTCTTAATAATCCAAATATATATAGTTATGTTATGTATGGAAACTAAAATAATGTGATACAATTTGTAAATATTTTAAGTCTTGTATTACTCCATTAGTCTACCTATTTATAGCATTCTGTAAGACTGTCATTTTTTTTTTTATTCCAAATTTTTTAGCTTATTTACTTGAGGTATGCCATTTAGTTTTATATAAGTATGGGTTTGAAATTCGATAGGTACATTAATAAAAATATGAACATTCGGTTAAATTTTATAAAATTAATTTCTTAGATGGCTATGAATTTCATAGTTTGAAAAGATTCACAAACCAAACACAAAAAAACTGGCGGAGATTACATATATACATTACATGTCAGAAAAAAAACTGACGGAGTTTACATTAGACTTTTTATTACCTATTTATCTTAATCGATATTCTGGTGGACTTTATAATCACCCATTAGATTCTATTTTTAAATATTATTGATGTAAATGAATTTTTTTTTTTTTATGAAAGTCATAACATTAATAGTTCAACCTTACTTATTAAAAAATTTTGTTTTATTATTATATAAACTATCTTTAGAAATATAAACTGATCCATCCTTCTTCTTTTGTTCAATATAGTTTTTTTGAGAACAATGATACATTGGTTTCAAGTTAAAATATCGATACAGTAATACTCATCCATTTATGTTGATTTAAATATTTAAATATTATTATAAACAAAAAAACCTTTTAATAAAAATATAATACATTTTATTTAAATATCATTGGATTCATAATATTCTTCACCTTATAATTTAAATAAGCTTTTCATTTATTCTAAAATACTTATAGTTAATGAAATCCAAAGTTTGCTGGAATTAAGTGACTCGTTGTTCATCGAAATGACACCTCTCTCT